AAATGTTGCTTGAGTAGAAGCCTTTTGGAAACAACTTTTTCATCACTATAAGTGACGTATATATCATTGGGAGTTAAACACAATATGTACAATCTATTGGACATATTGCAGCACCTAACCTTAATTAAAAAACATAGAAACAAAATTGTTCCTTATTTAAAAAAAGTACCGACACATGTCTAGACATGATATGGAAAATAAGTTTCATTTCAAGGAAGGTACATAAAATGTGTTTCTTAACATCAAATTAAAATCATAATCTAGAATTAAAATGACATCTCCCATGAACTCGACGTAGACTTTATTGTTGTTTCCCATATTGAGTTTTGATTCATTCTAATTTGGCTTCCTACTATTTATGAATCCTTGTATGGTAAACTTAACATGACTTGTTGCGCCGCTATCTAGCCACCATGAATTGGATGGCGCTTCTGATAGGTTGGATTCATAAATAAATGCCAAAGAATCATTACTCGCAGACTCATGCTTAGACAACCAAGTTTTATATTTATCGCATTCTTTCTTTATATGACCTTTCTTCTTATAAAAGAAATGTCGGTCACCATCCCTCTTGAAGGATACTTTCTTAGGACTCAAACAGTCAAAATGAACAATGGTTTCATGAGTTCCTTTATGAGTATAATTTTTGGACTTCTTACTCTTCTTATCCCTAACGCCACTAGAACCATAGTACCTCATATTGAAGAGTCCTTCCAGATATGTCTCAATCTAAACATTAGATGAGACACAGTTCTTAGCCTTTAATGCTTCTATCATCTGTTTAGCAGCGCATTCCGTTGGCAAACCACTCTTCAAGTGTTCCTAAATGGACCGCTTCATTGATAACAAGCAAATTGGATTACTCTTTTCGCAAGCAGCAAATTGTGCTTTCTGGGGTTCCATATTGGTGGCAATAAAATCTGCCGGCTTATCCTCAGTAAAAGCAATACGAACATCCGCCAACTCTATCCCAAACATAAAATCCTCTTTTCATTTCTTAAAATTTGAACCAGTATGAACCTTATTCATAATAGAGTTGTCATTTATCGGGGAGGTGACTGATAAAATAAGCAATGTATATAATTAGTATCATGTGAGTACTGTGTAACTTGAAATTATATAAGTACACATTTGAGAGTTACATACATCATCATATAATCACCTTTGGGCAAATACATGACATGCAGTTGTATACTCTCTAAAAATATATTCCAACCTTAGTGAATTCACTACTTTTGGGTGTATGAACCACTAGGATCAGTCACTCTTCAACCATATGTTGTACATATGTCCCTCCATGAACCAATACACAATCACTTTCTTTAGGAGTATGACCATGCAATAGAATAAAAGACATATCACCACAACATGAGATTGATATTTCTCAAACCCAATCAAGCGTGCCACTTTGGTGGTCATAACACAATATGTCTCACATTTACCATATATATGTAATTTTAGACTTGAAGACAGGGGCAATTTATTACTAAAATCACATGCCATGCTAATTACATTATTCCATCCGTTGATACTTGTTAACATTATTTGTGCTATCAATGAATCACGCTCTACACATTCTGTATGCGATGATATACATGTGAGCTAGCATCTATATTTCCGAAACCATAGAGAAATACAAGAAAATACGCAAAAATACCCTAAAAAATACATGTATATAGGGTTCTATAGGAATTTTCACATGCTTAAAAGAATCAAACATGTAAACTGACTATAGCACATTCTAGAGCATCTCAATACGGGAACACCAGTACTGAGGACGCTCCAAATGGAGCTCGGACGAGCCTTCACGCGTAGCTTGAGTGTGCAGCACATGTGGCGCACGCTCGGCTTGCCAATTTGACCTAGAACACCGATCCGACTGATCTAACTGCTCTAACCGTTGATCAGTCCGGTCAACGATCAACCTGGATCGGGTCAGGTCACTCGGGCACACCCGGGTCAACTCGCTTCGCGAGTCGCTGACGTCAGCCCAATGCACGTGCTAGACGACGCTTGCGTGTGGCTGCCACATGCCGACATTGCAGTTGCGCGTGGCCGCGCATATGGCATCCCCTGGAGGCATGGCACCCATCAAAATTTTCGTCTAGACGAGAAATATCTGATTATGTGATCAAAATAAATTTTCATCGGACAAAAATTTCGAAAATGGTCAAATTCGAAGATTCTAGCCCTAGACTATGGCGGCTCTGATAGCACATGTAAGCCATAAAAGTAGCACCCCCAGATCTCCATAGCCAAAAAACTAAAACACAATAGTGGATAAAAAGAGATTTACGCACTTGATTTAGGATCCATAGTTCTTAATGCGAAATAGTAGCGATCTTGAGCACCAGTACTTCTCTTCTATGTCGCAACCTCCTTATGGCACCAACCCTTCGTGTGGGCCGACAAGGGTCAATTAAGAGGCTGATGGATTGCTAAGTTTAAACCTAGGGACTTAACTTGGACTCTTCCAAGCCCATATCAATTCGCGACTTAAGGTTCAAGTTATTAACATGCAAATTAATTTTATCTAGGAGTCACCACTAATCAGTTTAGGGTAGGTTAATTAGAAACCCAAGTAAGGCGACTGGAGAAACGCCTTACTCCTATGAACCAGAGATTCAAATGAATCCTTGGACTTGGTTATATAAGTTAGATGACCAATACCCTTTCGGTACCTGATCCTGTTCAAACAACATTTAAAGGTATTTACGCAGTATTCCTAAAGATTGTGATTCCTAGGGTTTTAATCCTAACTAAGCTAAGGAAATGACAATCAATGCATGGGAAGTGCGCAAACAAAGGCCTAATATGCCTCTAATCAGCCACATGCAAGGTCGAGTTAAACACGCAATTCGAACGTGTAAATCAACCGACGTACAATTAAGCATGGCATTTAATCACACAAAATATGCAAGAAATGGCAATTCCAAAGTCCAATTTTCATATTTTAATATTAAAATAATAAATATAGTAATTTTATATTATAATAAACTGATTCGGGTCGGATCTCCACATCCAACCCGAGTCGGGACTGACTCGGGCGCGCTGGCCTGGGTCTACGCGTGACTGGGCTCAGTAAAGGAGCCTAATCCAGCATGGCTAAAAAAAAACAAAAAGGAAACTAAAAAAAGAAAAGGCCCAGCCCACTACTTAATTAATACTAACTAAGCACAAAGCCCAGTCCCAAAAGAGAGAAAAGGGAACCGGGTCAGGCTCCTCGCCCAACCCGACTCTACCCCCTATAGATCCAACTGACTCTCCTGTATTCCCCTATACCGCGGGGTCTTGACGAAGGCAGTCGATACAGGGATGGCCGGCTTGTTTCAGCTCGGCTAGGCAGTACACCACTGCGGTGTTGCCTCAACCAGCTCTGGCAAAGGACTCGACCACCACCTGGTTGACCATCCGGCTAGGCACAAACGTCAACCAAAACTCGGCTCGACCACCTCGGGCCCAAAACTTAGCCAAGAACTAACCACCCACGGCTAGGCGGCCGACACCCGGAACTCTAAACACTTTAGGGACGCCAAGAAAGAAACGCAACACGCGCGGGCAACTCGACACTGGCCAAAACAAACGACCCAAAACCGGATCTCACTTAGGCGTTTTGTCGAACATTTGGTGGGCGCTTAAAAAACGAATGATTTTTTACTCAACTGAGACTCAAACACAAGCCAAGACTCACGACGACCCATGAGCAACACACACGACAACCAAACAAAGGGTTGACGGGGCCCGGAGTTCACGCGAGCCTGTTGGTCGCGAGCTCCGGCCTGGTGTGCTCTAAACAGAGCAAGCCATAGCCAAAATAGGACCTACCTGCTGTACAGCAGCGACGATCGTCGGTCAGGGGGTGGGACCGTCTGACGGGATTCGCGAGTGGCCGAGGTGTCGACCGATGCTCCCCCTTGCTCTCGCTTTGTCTCTCTTAGCTCAGCCCTCTTTGTTTCCTCCTAAGAACCACCTTCTCTCCTTTGGCTCCCCTCCTTTCTCTCTTCAGAACCGACCCCCCTCTCTCTTTTATACTGGTCGCCGGCCGCCTACTCCCCTTGTGCTCCACATCTCTTTTGCCCTATGTTTCCTTGGCTGTCTAGCGTTGGCACTTTGCGTGGGGAAGGAGGAAGAGAAGGAAGAGAGGAAAGGGAAGGAGACCGGCTGGAGAAAAGGAGAGGGCTGGTTGGGCCGGTGGGAAAGGAAGAAAGCAGGTTAGACCGCACCCAGCAGGGAGAGAGAAAGGAAAAAGAAATAAAGGGAGGCCGGGCCGGTGAAAGAAAGGAGAGGGCTGGGTCGATCCAACCCCGTCCCGACCCAACCCGACTCGACCCGATCCGATTTTTTAGCGATTTTTTTTATTAGGAAAAATATTTAAATTAGTGCAATTAATGTATTGAGCCTAATGTCTATATGCTATGCAATTAAATAAAAATATTTTTATTTTAGGATTTAAAATTTTAATTCTTAAAATTTTGTGCTATTAATCACTAAATGGATAATCAAAATTTAAGTGTCAATACTCTATTATCTTATATATCACTGCCTCAATGAGACTGTCCTTCACAATTGCGTTCTGTAACTGCTCCTTATATGAGGTTATCTGTGCATCAAGTTAGAGGGGAAACTTGAACACTATTTATAGAGTTTTCATCCATAGGCCCTCTTGTCACAGACCAGGCTTTACTCGACCCATACTAACATGTCCCATATTAGACTAATTAAGAATTTTTATATCTTACTTTATTATACCAATTCCGTAAAACAGAAAATCTCAATCTCAATTAATATAGCCCATATCAGAAAAATTCTTAAAGTTCAAGCTGAATTTCTATTTTACAAACAACATATTTATTACAAAATGCGCGCAAGCTCGCACTCTGTGTCGTAGCATGCGTGCATGCACCCAGATGCACTCGATGCACATCTGACGTGTTCGTGCACGTACACAATCATGCATCAAAGGTAAAGCCATGAACTAACATGAATAAATTATTCATCAGGCCTTTCCATTGGGGTCCCCTTTGGTCTCCTACATTTCAAGGGCAATCTTGAATGTTACTGAAGATAAAATGAAAATGGACGCGATTGAAAGAAGATACTTCCAAGCTCAAAGCTCGTGCCAGGATCAAGACGCTACAATCTTTTCAGACAATCTCAGCCTGAGTGTGTACAGCTTTGGAGGTCTTTTCATCATCAGTGGCATCGTCTCAGTATCTTCGGTATTAATATATGTGGTTTTGTTCTTCTATTCTCATTGGCCTTCTTCGAGTGCTATTCGTCCGAGGGATCGCTCCCTTTGGTCCAAGTTTTTGGAAACTGCGGACAACTTCTTTCAAGAGCACCGGTTATTTGGTTGTTCGGAGAAAAATAGATGCAGGACAGTTTCGACATCACATTTTCGAAGTACAGAAGCTTCTTCGAATAATGATGTTGAACTGATCGTGAGGGCACCAAATGAAGGAGAGAGGCGAACACTTATTATACCCGTATGAATAATGAAGATCGTGTTTTAAGAGAGGCTCATCGAGCATGAGAACGATTCATCCCATCTAGGTATGTATATACGCATATTAGCAATTTGTTTTGTTTACCTTTTCTTTTGGAATAAGGGGTGAATTTGGGTTGATAAATGTTGCCTGTAAAATCTTTTGCTTGCTATACATATTTTAATTAAGGAAAATGCTTGATTTACTGATACTGGTCGAAAAAGTTGGTTTATGAAGTGGTGCGTCGGGCAATTATTGGTTCCCGAATATTTACTTGAGTATAAAAGACCACTTAAAGTGAAAAAATTTACTTTGTGTTTTTTGCTAGAAGGAAACAAATTACTTAGGCTTCATTTGTTTCGCAGTTCATTTATTTTCCAGAAAATGAATAATTTAAAAAATATTTTCCTAAAAATATCACTTGTGTCGCTTGAAATAATTATCCAATGAAAATTATTTTCATTATTGACAATAATTTATGTTTAAATATTTTCATAAACAATGAAAAAATTTTGTTCATTTGTTTTTTAAGCAATATAAGCAATTATTTTTATGAAAATATTTTCCAGATTATTTATTTTCCGCAAAGCAAATAGAGCCTTAATAAACAAATTTTGTAAACCTGAGAGAGAGAGAGAGAGAGATGGATTGTGCTACTTGGAAGCCCTCTTCTTTTCTATCTGTTATATATTGAGAGAATATTTGTTCATGTACTCATCATGTGGCATTTGCTTGTGTGATTGTCATGTGGCAGCCACGAAGCATAATTGTGCGACATGACTCATATTCGACCAATTACCATTAGTTTTCATCCTCAAATATCTATTACTTATTAAAATTAACTTAAAAATGGATATACATAAAGTATATTCAAATGCATTCTTAAATGAATTCAACCAATATATATGAAAATAAAGATAAAATATCTTGAACATATTTTTATTTTCATTCCCAAACATTCATCATTTCACAATTATCTCATTGATTTTTGATTCGTAAAAAGAACGAATAAATATGAATTAACTTTAAATATATAACTTGTCCGTTCCAAAGTCACTGCCTATCACCAACATCATGTGACCATCGCAACACTCGTGGCCTCCGAATTACTGGAGCCACGAGAATACCTCTCTCTGTTTCTCTTTCTCTTACTATATTAATATTACGATATGTTAATAAAAAGTGGGACACCGAAGAGGATGGGAACTGGGCCAAGCAACGCAGCAGGGATCAGTGGGCCGAAGAGCGAGTTTAGGAGTGGAGTTGGCCATCGCATTGAAGATTCATCGGAGTAAAAATTGCACGTAAATTGCATGTGAATTGAGGAATTTTTCTAATTTCTTATGAGCATCCAGAAAATTATTGAATTGGAGTGAGTAATCGGGAAATCATGATAGGTGCTTTATCTTTATCCAAAGAAAAAAAATTATATAGGAGAAATCTGTTCTATGCGTAAAGTTGAGTATGTTGTAATTTAAAATTATCACGCGATGTCTTTAACCGATAAAAGAAGACCAATTATGATCCCATAAAAAACCTTAGTAAATATTATTAATAAAATTTTTAAGAGACATTATAAACTACAATGCCAAGGTGAATAAAACGGGTTAATATGATGAGTAGTCCTGAATTTTTGCTCGATATTCAATATTGTTCCCGATTTATTTTTGTTTAATCTAGTCCCTGAAATTTATGAATTCCGCTCAATATAATCCTTCGTTAAGTGCAATGCCAGGTTTGTGAGATTTGTCACCACGGCCTCCATCCCACTTTAACCCCACCTCTATCTGTCCATCACCAACATCATCGTCGTCGATTGACTCCCCCCGCCCCCCCCCCCCCCCCCCTCTCTCACTCACGTCACTCTATTTCACTTTCTCTTACTTTCATATCTATGGTGTGACCTCAAAACTGAGGCAATTTTAACTTCAATTCGGAGGTCACAAACAGAGAAACCCTTAGTCTTTAATACCCTTATACACTTGTTATTGAGTGAGAAGATCATTAACTGAGAGTGCTTCACTAAGTGTAATCTCTTTTAAATATACAAGTGTTGTAGTAGTGTTTGGAATTAGTAGTGTGATATACTAACTTCGGATAGCACTTACTATGTTATAACGACTCAAAGGATTACTAGTGGATTTTAACTTATTGGTAGCTGTTAGTCTGGGAGAGTGGACGTAGACTTGGTCGAGCTGAACCACTATGAGATCTGTTGCAACTCTTTAATCTATTTATTTCCATATTTATTTGAAAGAAGTATACTGCACTTGATATCATCAGCTTACTCTTGCAAATATTACATAGTTCCTGTATATATCACATAGCTCATACATATATCAAACTTGATTTTAATAATTCCGCAAAATCTATCAAGTTTCAATTATCAACCTATCAATCCCCTATAGGTTGCATATTTAACCATAACACGAATAACTATCCATTTGTCTTCCCAAGTACGTTAATGACCAAGACATCATTTAGCCGTTCAACTTATCATGATACCTCGAAGTCCGCATGAACTTCCCATTCTCCCAGACTTGTTCGCCCTCTATCAAGGCCCTTATAGCTTTTATGCGTCTTTCCATTGCGTACTTCATATGCCACTTATAGTGATAAAGCTTTCTCTATATCAACACAACTTGAAATAAGCAACATATGCATTTATCAAATAATCATGAGAAATAGATGGTTTTGTTAGTGTAAAAATATAGTCGAAGGTTTTCCTAACAATCTTTTCCTTTTTTTATAATGACAAAACTATTTATAAATTTACAAACGTGGAAAAACATCGATAAGTTATTTGAGATTTGATATAAAATATGAATTGCTTAACAAGCTTTGAAAGGATAATGTTTACGGTTCTAAACATATAGAAGTAATTGCTATAGTCTCTAATTATCAATATGATCAGAGAATATCATGAGACAGTTAATAGAGGCGCAAAAAATGAAGATGGAGAATGAAGTTCATTTGTACTTCTATTCATAAATAGCTTTATAGTCTTGGAGATAGGATTAAAAAATAATGATAGCTATCAATTGAAGTCACAAACATAGAAAGACATGATGATTTTCTAATTGATTCATTCCACTATTATGTGATTCTCTCATGTGACTTTTCACGTGACTCCCCCTTACTAGTTGAACCGATGATTTTCACTTCAGTTTTTATTTTATCAGCATATCTGCATATTTATATTTCTCACCCTTTTTGTCATGATAAAAAAGATAATAAAAAAGATATTGTACGAATATAATCAAACATTACTGCATTCAACAACACGTCATTCTTTCCTAAACTTTCTCTTCTGCTGAGACAGAGGGAGATTTGGTAGTCAAGGAGGATAGAGATGGCCTTAAGAAAGGACGAAAGCTGTTAGAATATTTAAATAATAAATCACGTCTTCATTTAACAGCTTAAACTTTTAGAACAGTTGGCAGTGATCCTACAAATTCTCACATGGTATCAGAGTAGGAGGTCCTGACTTCAAATCTTTTTAGGCCCCATAAACACCATTTACAATAGTAGAGATTTAATAATCTCTCCCATTAAAGCCTTTCACTCTTGATTTGCTTCTTCAACTCGCCAATTTCATATTTGCCCTCCTTAGCAGCTGTCTTCATCGAAGGGTTGGCAATGTCAATAGTTGCTTTCTCTTCTTGCCTGTGTCAAGAGGCTCCTTCATCTTTTCCTTTATTGTTCCTTTTGTCTTCTCATCATCTCCATCTCCATCTCCAATCTTCATCATCTCATTCTTCAAGTTAATCCACCCTTCTGCAGTGGGCCTTAAATTCATTTTGCGAAGAGCTTCTTTCCCTATTATCAAGTTCACCAACTTCTTTTTCAGATCGTCAGGAATTTGAATGCCCTTGTGCTTAAAAATCCTTGTGATTAGAGCACCATAAGGCAATTACCCAACTCTCTTTTTAACCGCTCGAAACATGTGACATAGAATAGTGCGAGGGAGTGAAAACTCTAATCCATCAATTATTGTCCTGAGATGAGAGAGATCGTTTGGGTGGCCTTTGGCCGAATGTACGTGATAAGGATTTATTGAATTATGTTCAATTTCAAGAGAATGAGATTGTGAGAATCATAAGTTTTATGCCCACGAGAAAAAGATGGATCCTCTGTTATGACTTTGTAATCATCATTGAAATTCGGGAAAATTCCAAATAGGGGCCTGAAGTGCCATCATTTTCTTAACAGAGGGCCCGAGTGGACTTAGTCTCAAATAAGAATCCGAAGTAATCATTTAGTCTCACATAAGGGCCTGACTCGCCGGTCGGCGAACATATGCTTCTCCCGTGTGTATTCCAGTAGCCGGTCAGGTATATTTTTGTCAAAGGTATTTTAATTTTTTTTTCACTCTTATTCCTGTTCATCATCTTTTTTTTTTTTTTGGTAAGGTAAGAATATGTATAACTTATCAAATCACCAAGTACAACCTAAGCCCAAACCAGCTGATGACCATATCAGGACATAGTAATGTCCATACAAGGTCAAGAGGGTCCAGCAGGAACTATACAACAAGCCGAAGGACGGCTAAGAACATGGAAAATAGAAATAAGAAGACAAAGACAACCAATCCAGCCGCAGGTTGGATGGGCGACGCCAAAACTCCGGAAAACCGCTGAAGAGGGCACCGGAACAGCTGGGAGCAGCACTACCCAAAGATAGAAGGAGGCAGGTCCCACTTCCTTTGTAGAATGCGGTTCCTATATGTGTCCTCAACTCTCCCCATAGAGATGGCCTTGTCCTTGACGACTTTGATAAGGTGCTTACGCATGCCAGGGATAAAGACGCTCTTATTCCTGAAGATCGCATTGTTCCTTTCGGTCCAAATAATGTGACATAAAGCCCCAAAGGAAAATCTAGAGATGCGGTGAGCAAACGAGGATCCTCCGCATACTTGCATCGCCCACATAATATGTTCTTGCCAGGGACGGTTGCGCCAGGGTAGATTACATTTTGTCGCCCAAAGAGAAGCCAATCTACTGGTGGAGGTGCATTCAAAGAAAAGGTGGTTGATTGAGTCTGGTGTAGAACCACAAAAAGCGCACAAGGCATCGTCAATCCTGTGATTTTGTAACAGGAATACCTGGGTAGGTAGTCGGTTCCTGTTCATCATCTTCTTCTTCATTTGACCCAAAAAAAAAATTTCTTCTTCGTTAGGCATTAGATTAAGATT